CTGGACCGCAGGCCCCAGGCCCCACCGGCCCTTTAGCTGTCATTTCTGCAGCAGGCCTGGCCTTCACCCTCAGGCCCCTTCCAGTAACACAGTTTCCTTCCGCCTCCAGGGCTGTCGATGATGAGATCGAGGGCGACTTGGAAGAGGTATTGGGAGCTCCCTGAATTCACCCCCTTGTCCTGGACCACCCCGGGAGCAGACAGTAATCCCAGGGTTTAGGGGGCCACAGGACTTCAGGGGCGCAGCTGGACATTAAGGCCTCCCCGGGTGCCATCTGCACCAGCTCCGGCCCGGCCCGGCCCTCGGCTGCCCCTGACCGCTGGGGCGAGTGAGCCCGCGTGCACGTGGGGCGTTGTGTAGGACGGGCCACCAGACGGGCCACCAGTGCTGTGCTGATCAGTGCAAGGCTCTCGTCACCTTCCTTTCTGGGCCTCGCGTTTCTCTATAAAATGAAAGCGCTGGGAGACCAGGTTCCTGAGGTCACCCACGGGTTGTGATTCAGTGACGGGTCCTGAAGCGCTGTGACCACACAATTCGGGAATTTCAGACAAGGCTCCATCATAACAAGTCCAGAGCCGAGGGAGGAAAACACCCAAAACAGAGGAAGGACCTCTTCCCTCTGTCCCGGGGCCGGGAGCGGTGGGATCATTGCAGACACGGAGGGCGCCGAAGCTCTGTGCTTGTCCCGTGTCCTCACGGAGAGGCCGCACAGCCTCCAAGGGCCACTGTCAGAATCCTTCGGGAACATCCCAGCTGGTCCTGTGCTCCTGAATCTCCATTAGCGTAGATCGTACAAGGCCATTTGGTTGAATGTGAGCGATGAGAGCCTCGCTCCTTCCCAGCAGTTTCTTCTCCCTCATGGGTTTTATCCAGAAAAAAATCATTACATCTTTTATCCTGTCCTTTATCTCAGCCCCAGCAGCCTGATGGTCCAGGCCCCAGAGTGAGCGGAGCAGGGGACGTGATGGGGGAGGGGAGGCCCGGAAGGGGGAGCAGGCACCTCCTCTGATCTATTGTCCCTCACGTCTGTGTCCCACCTTCCAGATCGATGTCAGTGAAGACGACATTGATGACGGATTCAGGAGGCTGTTTGCCCAGTTGGCCGGGGAGGTAGGTGTCCCCCAGGTCTCTGTTAGGCGCTCTGGTTGGTACAAAGGAAGAGACAGGTTTTGTCCCCAAGGAGGCTTCAGTTTAAAGGTAAGAGGAAACAGATTGGACCAAAGCCAAGAGGAATCGCAAATGGAACTCGGGCCCCTTGGCCGAGTCCTTCCGAGACCTCTGAGCATCGCAGGCCCCTCCATTTCCGTGGCCACCTCTGGCTCTGCTCCGCCTGCCTTAGGGTCTGGGCCTCACCTTGTGGCTCTTTTATTTGCTTCTGTTCCCCTCCAGCTGAGACATGGAACTCGGCCCTTTATCCCTGATTTTCACAAAAATATTTGCAGAGATGGAAGGCATTTTTAAATTTCAAGAATGCAAGCAGCTTACAACAGGGACTTGGACTTCCCAGTTCTTAAAAAAAAAAATCCCTCAGCCACGTAGGCCTCCGCTGGCCGCAAAGTTATTCAGCCCTTTTGCGTCCCTCAACTCCAAGAAAAAGCCAATCTTGGTCTTAAACGATGGGCTTGTCCCCCAGTTACTCAGTGTAAGGGAGTGGAGACGCCTGAACGACTTCTAGAGGGGCCCCAAGAAAGTGCTGGGCCCGTTCTTAGAGCCGGTGGGTTTCACCAGCTCTGCAGGAAGCCAGACCTGAGTTTGAGAGGCCGAGGGAGGCGTGCGGATGGGAGGAAAGGGTGCGAGAGCTAAGACCACAGACACGAGTGGAGTGGGACATTTACACACTGCAGAGCGCTGGGGAATGAGCTCCACCTGCAGCTTGTGCAGATCAGGGACCCGGGGCCAGCAGCAGCAGCAGCTCACGGGGCTCGTTAGAGGCCCACGTGCATAGCCCCAGCCCAGGCCCGCCCAGTGCACGGCGCACAGGGTTTGGCCGGAGCAGGCGTCCAGCACACGCTGCAGCTCCAAGGGGGCCAGTAACGATGCCCTGCTTGCTCGCATGCCCACAGGATGCAGAGATCTCCGCCTTTGAGCTGCAGACAATCCTGAGAAGAGTTCTCGCCAAGCGTAAGTGTCCCCTCCTTGCCAGTCCTCCTTGCCATGCTGCGACTTCCCCTGCGGCCGGGAGGGCACACGGGACCCCTTCCCCTTGCCGTGTCTCGGCTGCTGTGGCTGAGCTGTCACAGCCTCCTCCCACGTGAACGCCCCCCACCACTAACGCAGCCACCACCCAAGGGTTGGCTGAAGGAGGTTCCGTGTGACGTGATTTTCAAAAGAACAAAGCTCCTAGGGGGTGGAGATCAAAGTCACAGCCAGGTTTCCACTGCTCACTGGCTTGGCAGGATAGACTTGTGACTACCTACCTCTTAAGAAGGGTTGAACCTCTTAAGTGAGCTAACGCGTAGAAATTGCCTGGCACGAAGCCTGCACCCCAGAAATGCTGGCTATTATGATGAGTCGTTGGCAAGAAAAGGCTCAGTCGGCCCGGACGGTGGGAGCCGGGAAGCACCCCGCGTCCCCGGCTGTCTTTAGCAGGAAATCATTCATAGAGGGCACCTTTCAATGATTAGCCAGAATGGAAAAAGAAACGGATCCTCTTACATTCAAACAAGGAATGGCGTTAAAAAACTTCATCTCTCGATGTGTGTTTAAAGGAGCCTAATCTGACCTGTTCATCAGGGGAAATGTCACTTCATTTGAGTCAAGGGGCCAAGCAAGTGACATCAAGGCTCTGGAAATGGTGACTCTGGGCCCCGGGCACTGGGGCTTCCTTAGAGAATGAGAGAAAGGGGACAGTGACTTGAAAAGGGGCTCGAGAGCCACACTGCTCACAGCCTTTCCCAGCTTGGAATTACTGCCAGAGCAGAAAACATCCAAGGACTGATTGGTCACCTCTCGCCGCTGATGGCCACCAGGGGGAGTGACACACGCACACGCATGCACACGCACCCATGCATGCACACGCACACATACACACACACACACACACACACACACACCCCAGACCCTCAAATTATCACAAGAGCCGTGCTGCCTTTGATAAGCCAGCAGCCCCCTGAGCAGGGTTTGTTCAGTGTCAGAAGCTACAGGCCCGGATCAGGAACAAACGTGTCTGTTGTCACATCCTGAGCGTGGACCCTGTGGGTCAGTCTCTAACAGTCTCCCGGACCTCACACGCCTCTGGGCTAACCCCGGAGACAAAGGAGACCCCCCCCCCCTTAGAGCCCAGAGCCCAGGGCCAGTTGGGTCTCCCAGCAGGTGAGCTTGAACATGAACCACTCGCACTTTGCAGGAACCGTAGATAACTGGCTCCTGCCCTGGAGCCAGACGGCCGCAGGAGAGCCCCTGTGAGTCACAGAGCTCCCCCGGGGGTGGCAGGGCTTCCCCCAACAGGCCCTGGTCCTTGCCCTCCCTCCTCCGATCTGGAGTGAGAACAAGAAGGTGGTGTTTACCCCCCAGGCACAAGTGAGGTCGCAGGGCTCTTCAGACATGTGGCTGCATGAGCCCAGCTGACTGAGGCCTCATTGTTCCCCCCAGATGGAGGGAGGGTGGGAACGTCAGGCCACGCAGGGATTCCCTGCTCCCTGCCTCCCCTGTGCCTCCGAGCTTGGCACCCTCCCTCCCCAGCTGCCCGGTGACGCCTGCCTTCTGCCTACGGCCCCACACCCAGCCTCGTGCCCACACCCGAGAAAGGGTCGGGGCCCAGACTGGCAGCTTTGGGACGGGTTAGGTTTAACCTTTACGAGGACATGACAGGAACGGTGGGCTTCTCGTGACGTCTGTGGGAACCAGATTCACACTGGGACAGGAGCCTCCTACCCTCACCTGCTGAACACCAATGAGACGGGACTCAGCTGGTGCAGGGCAGTGTCTCCAGTGGCTTCAGGGTCCTCAGGTTTCTCAGCTGGGGCTGGGGACACGGAGGCTCCTAGCCTCGAGCTCACGTGCCCCCTCTTTCCTTTTCCACAGGTGATTTTGCACCTGGGAGCACTTAAGGACTCAGTTCACTTATTTTATTTTTTTATTGATTTTAGAGAGCGAGGANTTCACGTGCCCCCCCTTTCCTTTTCCACAGGTGATTTTGCACCTGGGAGCACTTAAGGCCTCAGNCTCACGTGCCCCCTCTTTCCTTTTCCACAGGTGATTTTGCACCTGGGAGCACTTAAGGACTCAGTTCACTTATTTTATTTTTTTATTGATTTTAGAGAGCGAGGAAGGGAAAGAGAAACGTCAATTTGTTGCTCTACTTATTGGTGCATTCACTGGTTGCGTCTTGTATGTGCCCTGGCCAGGGATCGAACCCACAACCTTAACGTGTCGGGGCAGTGCTCTAACCAACTGAGCCTGGCCAGGGCCCATTCTTTTGCTTATTTTAAAAGCACTTGTAAAAGCCCTGCTTGCCCAAGGCGAATAGTTAGTAGCCAGCCGTAGCTACTTAAAATCATTTAAGTGGCTACTGTATCCCAAGGTGCAGATACAGGACCCTGCCACCTTGGCTAGTGCAGCTCTAGAAGGTTTTCCTGTCACTCTTTGTCTTATAGGCCAAGATATCAAGTCAGATGGCTTCAGCATCGAGACCTGCAAGATCATGGTTGACATGCTCGACGTATCCTTTCGTGGGCTCCTAAGAACACGGGTGGGGGACTTTGGGATTTCACACTGCAGAGAGTCAGACTCGAAGCCCTCCAGGAAGGCCAGCTGTTGGGTGGGTGTAGGACTGTTGTCACGACGGAACGTGTGTGACTTCAGCTGAGGGAAATCGACACGTCACACACCCTGGTTACCTCCACACCCCGGTTACCTCCAGAGGCTCAGAGTGCAGGTCAGCTCATGTTCCTGGGGCTGGGGCAGGAAATTCCCACAGTACACCCACCATTCTCTGCCTGGAGCAGCAGTGTTTCGACTGCTTCCTCTAGGAAAATAGACTTGACCGTTGAACAGCTAGGGGCACCGACCCCCCTCATAGTCGAAAATCCTCATGTAACTTTGACTCCCCCGGAAACTTCACTACTTCCTGTTGACAGGAAGCCTTAACAATAACTTAACTTACACATATTTTGTATGTTAGATTATTAGATACTGTATTCTTACACGAAAGTAAGCTAGAGAAAAGAAAATGTTAAGAAAATCCATTTACAATACTGGATGTATTTTTTGGAAAAAATCCACGTATAAGTGGACCTGCACAGTTCAAATCCATGTTGTTGACGGGTCAGCTGTAGTCCCTAAACTATGACGTTTGTGATGTGCGTGTTTTCTCTGGCCACGATTTTCTTCTTGATTTGTGGAGACGGGGTCCACTTTCTCCTTCCCATGGGCTCTAGCGCCTTCCCGGGCCACCCACCTGCCCCCAAGGCAGACGCATCATCCGTTTCCCCCCTTGTTCCTAATGCTCCTGAGAAGTGCCGGGCCAGGGATGGCCCCAGCTTCTAAGAGGTTCTGTCTAATGGGCTCACGGCACCCACTGTGTAGCTCCCCTCACAAAAGGCCTCTTAGAAATACACCCGATAATAGTTCCCATATTGGCAAGCCACCAGAAGCCTCCCGAAGTCCACAGCTCCTTTTTAGCAGGTTCTGGGGCCCCCACGGCACCCCCAGGCCGATCAGCGAGCAGGGTGAAGGGGAGCCGCTGTGTCTCTGGCCCTTCCACCAACCCTCGGGAAGGGTCCTGCACAAGGAGCGCCTTGTGCTTCCAGAAGGTCCTGGCACGGCCTGCAGGGACGCAGACTCCGGGGAGCTTTCCTTAACCAAAGGCAGTCCGATGGCAGCGGCAAGCTGGGCCTGAAGGAGTTCTACGTTCTTTGGACAAAAATTCAAAAATACCAGGTAAGAACCCAGGAGGGCCTGATGGCAGGACCAGGGCATGTGTTGGGAACACGCTGTGCAGAGACCTGTGGATGGAGGAGCCTTTCCAAGGGGGTGGAGCTCAGAATGAGTGAAGACAGGGCCGGACAAGTGCCAAGAGAACAAAAAAAGGACTTTGCAAGGTCACTGGTCTGCCCCCTGCCTTCATCTCATTGGCCAGAAATGGGGTCATCGGAAAGCCACCTTCAAAAGCCTGTGTGGCCTCTTGTACTTTGGAGTTTCACCAGCTCGAGTATAAAAATACTTAATAACACAGGCCCACAGTGGTTGACTATAGCTGATTTGATGGGCAGATTTACAAACCAGCTCACGTCGAGGGAAAATATTACCAGCTGTTGCAGGCAGGAGCATGGGGATGCCTCTGAGGCCAAGTCGGAGGCATGGAGCTGGAAAAACCATCCCCACTCGGCACACGGCACAGAGGTAGCCTGCACCTGCCCGGCCTGCGGTCAGGTTCTCATAACTGTTTTGCGTGTTCCAGAAAATTTACCGGGAGATCGACGTGGACAGGTCTGGGACCATGAACTCCTACGAGATGCGGAAAGCCTTAGAAGCAGCAGGTAATCAATACTTCAGAGCCGTGCTCTCTTTGGCCTTACTGGTAGAGCATGTGATGCGTGCAAAACAATACAGAGTTGGCTAAGCTGTGACATAAAGTAGGTGCTCATTTAGTACAAACCCATCCGTTTCGGTCCCCCTTTAAAGACCAGCGAGTAAAATAAGATGCAGTCCGGGATGCTTTGCCTGCTAAGCGATCTTGAATCCACGTCTCCTCCTGCGCAGCCTGGCGGGTCAAGCAGGCAGAGCCCGTTCTCAACAGCGCCCCCTGCTGCCCCTTTCGGGTACAGGGCGGGTTGGGCACAAATGGGATGGGATGTCCCCCTCCACCCTAGGGGAGTCCCTGGCAGAATGTGATGTTGATAAAAGGGACACAAGCTTGTGGGAGGCCAGCGGAGTGGGAGGCGGCTGTGTCTGGGGGACAGATAGGACAACAATATGAAGTTGTTCACTGTATTAGCCCGGATGCAGTGCTGTAGCAAAGACCCCAAATAACAGCTTAAACAAGATACATCATTTTTTTTTTTTTTAATATATCTTTATTGATTTCAGAGAGAGGAAAGGAGAGGGAGAGAGAGAGAAATATCAATGATGAGAGAGTCACTGATCAAGCCCGCAACCCGGGCATGTGCCCTGACCAGGAATCGAACCCTGATCGCCTGGATCCCAGGTCGACGCTCAACCACTGAGCCACGCCTGGCCAGGCACATCTCACTTAATCCAAGCCCAAGAAGTTCAAGGCTGGGAGGGCGCCTCCTGCTGTTGGGGACCCAGCTGCTTCTGTCGCCTCCTGTCACCCTCACCCATGGGACCTAGGGCAACGCGTAGACCAAATGAGGGAGGGAGGGACAGGCTTCTTGCCCTTAAGGACACACATCGCTGCGCACACATGCCACGGCCAGAGCTTAGTCACGAGGCTCCAGAGGGCTGCAAGGGATGCTGGGAAGCGCAGCCTTGATTCCTGGCAGCCAAGACCCATGAACAAATCTATTCACTCTGGCAAAAGAGGGAAATGTTTACCACGAACAGTTTCTGCCACATACATCCAGGGAGTCTCTGGTCTCCAAGATGATGCAGAGCTAAACACACAGGAGAGGAAGTGGGGTTTACCACCTGGAACAGTGTGACTGTGGAAATGGGAACAGACAGGAAAAGTCTTCCCTGTTGGTCAGTAAGGAGCCAGGCAGGGTGACAGGGAACCGTCTGGGGAGGATGACAGAAGGCCCTGGCTTTGCAAAAGCAATCCAGCCTCACAGGCGAGCGGCCAAGGGACAGAAGTGATTATCACTGTCATTTAAACTGCCACACGGGGGG